ATACATTTCTATTCTATACAGTGTATAGAACTACTACTACTACAACTATAACAACTTCTGCTAGTACTATTACTACTACTACTACTTTTACTACTGCTACTACTACCACCATCACCTCTACTACTACTACTACTACTACTACTACCACCACTACTACCACTACTACTACAACCACTACTACTACTACTACTACTACTACTACCACTACTACCACCACTACTACTACCACTACAACCACTACTACTACTATCACAACTCTACTACTACCACTACTACTACTACTACTACTATTACTACTACTACTACTACTACTACTACTACTACTACTACTACTACTACTATTACTACAACTACTACTACAATGGTAATAACATCTACTATCATCCAAGCCGTCAAGAGGATGCTACCAAAAACTATAAAAAGCGACCGCTCAAAAATGTCTGTCCCGGACAATACTTCGCTTTATGGTAATGGCTCGCATCAAATTTCGTTATTTATAATCTTTTCTCCCCAGTCACGTGGTGTTTCGGCTGGCCATGTTTTAGGGATGTGACAATAATGTTTCGGTACTATTATTTTGTTTTCTTGGTTTTTGGTTTGTTGTGAAAATTTTGTCTTCAATTGAAATGAAGACTTAGGTTTTTATTTTATACAAAACCATCAGATTGTCGTTATTCTCTGACTTAACTTGTATTGTTAACGATTATTAAATAAACAAAAATCGAAAATACTACTACTGCTACTACTACTACTACTATTACTACTAATGCTACTACTACTACTACTACTACTACTACTACTACTTTTGCTCATGCTACTACTACTGCTGTTGCTGTAATAATTACAACTACTACTGCAATAATATCAGCAGCACAACAACAACAACAACAACAACAACAACAACAACAACAATAATAATAATAATAATAAAAATAATTTTAAAGATACCAATTATAATTTTCAAGTGACATAGGAATTTATTATTCTTATAAATTATTCAAGCGATATAAACGTACGTTGCCATAAACAAAATGCTCATGTCTGTCTGTCTGGTTATTTCTTTGTATGTATGTATGTATGTGTGTGTGTGTTTGTGAATGTTTGTATGTGTGTGTTAGTTTGTATGTGTGTAAATGTATTTTTTTGTATGTATATATGTTTGTATGTGGTTTGTTGTGTGTATGTTTTTGTATGAATGTATATACATATGTGTATATATACATACGTATGTGTGTGTTTTTTGAGTGTGTGCGTGTGTTTTTGTGTCTGTGCGCAAACGTGTGCGTGCGCATGTGTGTGTTTGTTTGAATATTTTTTATTTTTATTTCTCTTGATGTTTGCTGTGTGGATTTTTTTTATTTATCTCATCAGGAACCTTCTGAAAATTTTGTTTCTTTTCCATTCATTCACTCAATCCTTA